ATTTTAGAATCCTCACTGTTAAAATGACAGCACGACTACTATTAGTTACTATTGATAATTCCATTTACTATGTAGATAAACTTGCAAGAAAACAGATTCAAAAGGCAGTGGGAAAAGACTGCCAACACCACAATTATAAATTTCCTTTCATGCATCCAGTTTCCCTAAATCAGGAAGAATGTCCAGCGTATTGCCTTTGTAGTATCAGCCTTACTGTTAGATTAGGGTTCCTGTCTCCATTTAACGCTTCCTATCAGCTACTTACGTACACAACAAACAGGTATGCATCAACTCACAGGAAGAAATAAAATAAAAATAAAAAAGATTCCTCTCACTAAATAGCATGATTCAAATGCTTCAAAAGGTGATACAGAATCAGGACAATACGGGACATCTTTGCTGATCCCATATACTCCATCCTCTCCATCTGGAGTCAAGCCTGAAACACCACCACCCCTTCTACCCCTTCCTTCCCATTTTAAACATACTTTCTACCCTGAATGACAGCGTTCCAGCTTCCAACCACTCCAGCCTCCTCTGGACCACATGTGAGTTAAATGGTCTTTGTTAGAAATGGGTGGGAGCTCTGCTTTGTAGCATGCCCAGCCAAACAGCTAACATGATATGGGGAAAGACATTTAAAGAAAGTGGGGAGAGCTCCTCACTGGGAAAAAAGCAAAAAAAAAAAAAAAAGAGGGAGGAACAGAGGGAAAAAGCAGGTAGAGAGGAGGAGAAAAGCCATATGAAGGAGATTGTGTGTGCATGAGCATTTGAGGGATGGAACTAGTCTTCCCCGTGTGTGTTGCAGCGGTTGTGTTTGTGTTGCTTTGTGAGGATGGATGATACTTGTCCTTTTTTGTGTGTGTTCTGGAGTAGTTTTGTTTCTGTATATGTGCTTGTTTGGAGATATGAGCAGGTAGTTTTGTGTGCATTTCTGCATGAGAGAAAAAGAGAACATTTATTTTCAGTAGGTTTTCCCAGTGTCACTAATTTTCCCTTCTGTGAAAATTCTTGTGGCTCACTTTTGGAGGTCAAGTGTGTGATTTGGTGTTTGGGGGTCAAAGTCACCCTCTGCTCTATGTTCAGTTTCTTGAGGCAGCTAATTTTCCTTTGCGACTAGAAAAGCTTCCGTGGCTGCCATTTTTGACACTAGGATGATAGTTTCTTAGATTTCTAAATGCACCCCAAATTTTGGAGACCCATGTCCAAAACACAGGCACATTTGAATAATTCTATCAGCCTGCTGCCCACACAGGCAGCTCCTGTCTTCATAAGTCACGTAGTCTCTTAACTACAGCTTCCCACAGGGAAATTATGGTTACCAGGCTCAGAACAAGACAGAATTTTAATCAACACTTTGGCCAAAATGGGAAACAACAGTGAAGCATATTGTTGACTTATTGACTCATCCTGTGAAGAGTGTAGGGGCTGCATGCAAGGACAAAAAGAACTTGCACAAGCTGATATATGATCATGATGATCATGCAGATCAACCCATAGGAGGAGTGCTCAACCTTCTACCCTTGGAGACATGCAGATCCCACTCAGTTTCCATTGCTAGTGTTAGCTAGAAAAAGTCTGGGATCTCCCTAGCCAATGCGAGGGAAAGGAAATCCTGACAGCACAGAGATAAATAATGCTAACAAGGAAAGGTAACCCAAGTGGGGAAATGGCAGGAGACCCTTCTCACCCAAATGGGGAAGAGGGGCATGGATCCTGCCAAAACAACTGTAGCTAGGAAAATTTTCCTGACAACAGGCCTTGCTGTGATGCAGAGACCACAAAGAAGGGGAGAAGTATGTGTCAGGGACAAAAAAGGTATGATGCAGGGAACATGGGGGACATGCACATGTGTGAGGAGAGCACATGAACGAGGGTGCAGACATATATCTGTGTGCATAGCCATGCACAGAGGTATATGGCCCCTTGCACCACAGCGAACTTCTAATTTGGGCCTCCAGGCTGAATATGCTAAGCACCTGTACCGTAGATTTATAACTACAATACTGCCAAAATGAAGAGCATTCTAACAACTCAGGTTTGTTCCAAGAGGGAAAAAGACAAGATATAAATGCATTGCGATGATGATGATGAAGAAGAAAACTTCCTTATATCAGTGGCTGTGTTCAGAGGTCATTATTATAGTTTAGTAGGATGCACACAAGCCAAGCTTTCCCCAGTCTAGTACTCCCCATTTACCTTGTCCCATCAAGAAGACCAGTTTGGAACATTCTACTTCCATTTTTAATTAATCACAACTTATCATATTATCCCATATTTTCAACCATCAGTAGCTCAAACCAAGCTTTGTAAACCATGGTTTGAATTTGTTTTGTTTGAAAACAATCATAATTAAGAGTAATCCAGATGGATTCCTGAGGGCTCTGGGGGATTTTCCAGCAGATAAAGCTGGTGCTCCAGTTGATGTCTTGGTCGACTCGTGGAATAGGGAGATGACCAGGGCAATCGATACAATTGCTCGTAAGTGTCCTCTCCTGCCTAGCAGAGCCCGCTTGGCACCATGGTATATGCCTGAGTTGTGGTCAATGAAGCAGACTGGGAGACAACTAGAGCGCAAGTGGAGGAAATCTTGGGACAAATCTGACCGAACACACTTAAGTGAACATTATCATGCTTATGCTGTGACAGTGAGGGCGGTGAAGAGACAATTCTTCTCCGCTGCCACTGCTTCCCTGACTGGAGGAGCTTTTCTGAGTGATACAAGGCCTGATACATTCTGGCCAGGAGAAGGAAGTGGTTGCACCTTGGGCAGCCCACTGTGACAACTTTGCCCAGAACTTAAGGGAAAAAGTCGCTCAGATTCACTGCGATCTGGACTCCACAGCTGATTTGAATCCAGTACAGGAGGTGTCCAGAGCATCGTCTGGTCCATCATTATTGGATGAGTTTCAGTTATTGTGGCCTGATGATGTGGACAAGGTGCTTGGAATGGCACGTCCCACTACCTGTCTCTTGGACCTTTGCCCCTCTTGGCTACTTAAAGAAGCCAGTTACGGGACTGATCCCTGGGTCTGGGAGGTTGTCAACGCCTGAGGGAGGGCTGGGTCCCTACCCCCTTGAAGGAGGTGGTGAGCTGGCCTATCCTGAAGAAGGCATCCCTGGACTCAGAGGTGGCCACCAATTTTAGACCGGTGGCCAACATCCCGTTTCTGGGCAAGGTGTTAGAGCGGGTGGTGGCAGGACAACTCCAGGCACTCTTGGATGAAATGGATTATCTGGACCCATTTCAGTCCGGTTTCAGACCTAGTTATGGCACTGAATCTGTCTTGGTTGCCCTGTATGATGACCTGTGCAGGGAGAGAGACAGGGGGAGTGCATCCCTGTTGGTTCTCCTGGACCTCTCAGTGGCTTTCGATACCATCGACCAAGGTATCCTTCTGGATAGACTGGCTGGGTTAGGAGTAGGAGGCTCTGCTTGGCAGTGGTTCCGCTCCTACCTGACTGGCTGGCTACAGAGGATGGTGCTGGGGGACTATAGCTTTGCGCTGTGGCAGTTGTGCCATGGGGTTCTGCAGGGCTCTATTTTGTCCCCCATGCTTTTTAACATCTACATGAAACCACTGGGAGAGGTCATTAGGAGGTTTGGGCTGTGGTGTCACCAGCATGCTGATGACACCCAGCTCTACCTCTCATTTACATCTACTCCAGGTGAGATGGTGGCTGTGCTGAACCAATGCCTGGCCGAGGTAATGGGCTGGATAAGGGCCAATAAACTGAGCCTCAATCCAGATAAGACGGAAGTCCTGTTGGTGGGCGGATCGCGGTTTCAGGTAACTGACTTTAACCTTGTCCTGGACGGGGTAGCACTCCCTCTCAAGGACAGGGTCTGCAGCTTGGGAGTGCTCCTTGACCCAGAGCTGTCACTGGAATCCCAGAAGGCGGGGGTGGCAAGGAGTGCCTTCCTACAGCTTCAGCTGATCCACCAGCTGTGCCCTTATCTGGACAAGCACTGCCTAGCAACGGTAGTTCATGCTCTGGTAACCTCCCAGTTGGATTATTGTAATGCGCTCGACGTGGGGCTGCCCTTGAAGACGGTCCGGATACTTCAGCTGGTGCAGAACAGAGCTTCCAGGTTGCTGACGGAGACCGGTCATTATTCTCACATAACGCCAGTCCTCTACCAGCTACACTGGCTTCCAGTTGAAGTCCAGGCCCAATTCAAGGTGCTGGTTTGAACCCTATAAAGCCCTGAATGTCTTGAGACCAGGATACCTGAAGGAGTGCCTCTTCCCTTACATGCCCTCACGCCCCTTAAGATCTGTGGGAGAGGCTTTGCTCCAGTAGCCCTCTTTAAAGGAGATAAAAAGAACAACTACCCGGAGCCGGGCCTTCTCTGTGGTGGCGCCCAGATTGTATTCTTTTCGGTGGCAGGTCAAAACCTTTTTATTTAATCACTATTTTAAAAATTAATATTTTAACTGTGTCAAACAGTCACTTTGATTTTGTCTTTTATGTAATTTTTATTGAATTATGTTTTTGTACGTGTGATTTTATTATTATTGTATTTCAGTTTTATGGATTGTGAGCTGTCCCGAGATGCCAAGGCATAAAGGACGGCATACAAAAGTTTTAAATAAATAAAATAATCATTACTTGCTGGGGTGTCAACACCATCACAAATTGTGATTATTCAAAAGTGGCTATAACAGCTTCCAAACTGTTCCTCGTAGCCATACTTGCAGAAAGAAAAGGACACGTGTGCAAGCCCAGGAGAAAACTTAAATCCAATCATGCCTTCATGATGAACAATTTAAAATGACATCTGAACACAGCCAATGGAACATAAAAGCACCTCACTTTGTTTGGATTATGTTGTATACATTTTCTGGGGATTTACTTATTCACCCCAACATTATGGAAAATGAAAAAAGTAAAAAAGTAAAGCATGCAGAAAAGTAAATGAGATGGTATAAAACTATCTTTCTGCCTTAATTGAGATAAAAATGGTAAAGATTACTTTGGGAAGGGGAGAACCTTACCTGTAACTAAATCACCACCTGGTCCATGCCACTGAAATATTGGATCTATCAGTTCTGAATTTCTTAAATGATTTGTCACACACAGAATACGTGGACTATTATGCTCTAATCTGACATAAACTTTGACTGAAAATCCAAAATATCAAGATTAGCAGATGTTATCAAAATACAGTATTAACATAATATGCTTACGGTAGAAGTAACATTTATTACTATTATTATAGGTATTATACAATTCTATAAAATATTCAGAGTTTAGGTTAAACTTCAGGGATAATCTTCTACATGTGTAGATGTGTCATCGCACAGCAACATACACATGTGTACACACCTACATACTTACAGGCAACCCTCATATAAGTCCTCAACTGCCTTATATGAGCCAACTAGATCTGTCCCTATGTATACATCAATGAAGATGAACTACACACATTTTTTAAAACTTTCATTACTGCCATGTAGCAGGAAAAAATAGGCACACTGTGAGTAAACAAGAAAGCCGGGCCAAGCTGGTAACTGTTTTATCAAAGGTGAAATCACATGCAGAACATTCCAGAATCCACAGTATTCCTTGTAGCCCCTTCTCCAAGCCACAGACTCTGTTATAAACTTGAAAGGAAGATTCCAGTACTTCATCACTCCTCCCCTCACACCTGCTATGGAATGAATTGTGCAGGTTGCTTTCTGAGGCTGTAAATTCAGCCTCAGAGGACCTCAGAGAGGGGAGCAGTGGGGCATTTCTGTGGACAGTGTGGGGGCACATTTATGTATCATGCCATGCTGCTTGGACTATCACAACCTATCACCGCTTAAAGAATCTGTCCTCACTTCCCTAGTTGTCCAAATTTAACTGTAGTTGAACTATCAAGCATTTTATTTATTGCAATAACAGAACAACAAATACTACTTTTCCAGCATAATCCTATGCAAGTCCCTTCAGAAATAAATCCCATTAAGTTCAATGGGATATATTTTAAAGAAACTGTGCATCAGAGAGTAGCTTTAATGTAATGTACTTGATAGGTAATATAATTCTCTTTGGAGAAAACACTTTAACTGGTCATGTTCCCAGATCAAATCTTAGATTAAAGTCAAGCAATGAAGCAGCTTTATGCTCCTTTCACACTGCTTTGCTTTGCTTTTTGTGAAAGTGAATGAACAAGCCAGGAAGCCAGTTAGCCACAGCATCTTGTTACATACAAAACAGAAATTGAGGTTAATGGCTTCCAAAGTTTAAACCAAGATAATGCTAAACCGTAGCTTCATATTTTGGCTTGTTTAGAAGCCATTAACAATGGTTTCCCAGTATGAATGTAACAGAATCTACAGCTTCCTGCTTTGTTTCCTGATTCACATGGTGAAGTGAAACCTGAGCAAAGGGGCTGCATGTGAGTACATGAAAATTAATCTCATTAGGACATCTCATCTCATTAAGTCAAGATCATCTGAAATACAACCAGTGTTCAAGGCCTACCCACAATTCTAAAAACAGACTTGATTAAACAAATTTTAAATCTTTATTGTATACCTGGCAAATTGGTCGATCCCACAACTTTCAATGTATTAGGATCTACGCTGGCAGAATGTACTGTGAACATTAAAAAAAAGAATTAACTTCCTAAGAACATAAAAGAAATTGAACTGATTGCTGTCTGATCAGAACAAAATCGATTGACTTATGTAGACACAGCTCCACAATTGAGTGAAACAAGCAGTATTAGAAAGACTGACCACACCTGGACAATCTTTATGAAACCATGGACAAGTGCTATGCTTGCACACTCATTCTCCACCAGTCTCATCACATGCCCATTTCAGGATGAAAAGCCTGGCTTGCATTAAGGCAAAATTTCCATTTACATCGCAACCAAAAAACTGGTTTAATGTCAGCAAACCAATCAGATCCCAGTTTACTAACTATTCATCAAACATTCACCGGTTTACCCATAACACAAAACTTTGGTTTACTGCAAATGTTAATGTTGTTTGTGTCAAAGACAGTATGAAATGGAAGAAGGAAGGAGCATGTGGCGACTGTGCTCATTCATGTCTTCATAAAATGTTATTTGTGAAGCCATGTATCATTTCAAAACAGAGTACCAAGGTGGTATCATGAATAAATTGACATACATTAAGCAGGGTGGATCAGATTCATGCTTATTTTGGACCAGTCATATGCATTCAGACTAAGCAAACTGACAAGGCAATTGTGAGAATAAACTGGAACAACCCCTATGTAAACCGCCTTGAATTCTTTGAAGAAAGAGTTGCATAAAATGAATTCTGAGTGAAAGATATCTATTAGAAGCATTACTGTAAATGATATATAAAAAATAAGTGACACAAATAAAATATTATTCTATACTACTCTTAACTTTCCTCTCCCATCAGTATCTGGAAAAAGTATGGACCCTTTAAAACATATACTATATGCTATACAGTATACCCCGGTGAAGTTGCGGTTTAGCATTCGCGGCCTCTGTCTTTCGCGGAATTTTCCGTACGGCAGCTTGCTCGAAAGGAGATTGTTTTCTCCCAGCAAGGAGATTGGTTTGAACTCACTCGGAGAAAACAACCTCTGTGCACGCCTGCCCCTGCCTCGCCATACACGCGCACCCACCGCCCCGCCTGGCCTGTACGCCCCACCCACACCACCTTGGTGGCCCGTGCCCATCGCTGGCACCTTTCAACTGGCCTCTATTCAAAAAGTTTGAGGACCCCTGTTTTAAGGCTTCTGGCAATGAACCTTTACCACATTCAAAATTCACAGTTTTTCACAATTTGCAGGTGCTCTAGGAATGCAAACCCAGCGAATTTCGGGGGACTACTGTATCCAGTAAAAAGGACAAGGTGATATACTTCCATAAATGCCAACTTTAATTGAGTTTTGCCAGAATTTATGCTCTTTTTTGTTGTCTATTCTGTGATAGGAACGTAAAAGCCCTGCTGTACCAACCCAAAGGTCAGTGAAATACAACATCCTGTTTCCCACAACACCCAACCTGATGCTAACAAGAAATTCACAAGCAGCCCTTTCCTACTACTATCGTTCCCTTGCTAACTATCAAGTTTCTGGGACACCATTTTTAGAGCTCTTCCACCTGTTAACAATAACTGCTTTGGCACAGTTGTTTATACTGTTATCATACTGTGAAATAAACTGCTTTTTTAATTGCAGCAATGTTTAAAATTTAAATATCAACCTTTGATACCGAATACATCCATGCTATACATTCAAGGCTTCATGACAGCAATTGTAACAAAATTACTTGCATTATTCAAAACATTTACAGCCTGCTCTTCAGTTGCAAAGGCTACCAGAGATGCTTAGATATCCACAAAATAATTCCTGCCCTCAAGCTTACCATCTAAAACCACATGACACAAAAAGAAAAATGTAATTGAGACAGCACGTGTCAATCAGCAGGTTCATCAAATGTCCATTTACACTGAGGTTTCTGCAACAGACAAATTTATTTTTTGATAACCAATTTTGCTGTTTTATATACTGCTTCAGGTACTGTTTACCTGAAGCAGTAAAGAGAAGTACAACAAAAACTATTAAAATGGTTAACAAAGATTGCAATCCTATGCCCATTTATCTGGTCACAAGCTCAGTAAACTCAATGGGACTTACTTTTGAGAACTGCATAGGTACTTCAATGTTCAACAGCCTATATGTGTCAACTCAAAAGTCAGTCCTATTGCTTTCAATGAGGGGATATAGGCTTATACCCTAAAACATCCACAAACATTTTAAAGCACGATTTCTCATCTGGCTAGTGCATTTTTTTAAGCAAAATCAAACATGTTTTGCTGACATTTTTCATGTACATGTTTGTAAAACCGACAAAATCTCATTACTTTGGTCATGGCAAGATAATATACTTTTATTAATCTTCCTTGCTGTTTGTTGTTATGTTTAGGAATATCCAGGGTTAGGCACTTAACAAATATTTGTCAAGACACAAAATCATTTTTGGAGTATCTCACCTTTTAGCAAGCTTTGCTGAGCAGAAAAAAAAATCTAAGAGCATCTAAATCCACAAGATGGAGCTCTGCAGCCACTAATGCAAAAATACTAGAAACAGTACAACTAATCAATCAAGAGCTTTCAAAATGGACATGGCAGAATACAATACAAATATTTCTCAAACTATTTTCATATACTTTGATACCTTCGGGCCAGGTATCAGGAGGGATGGGAGAAAGGAGGAGGCTGGGAACTCCAAGGAAAGGAAGCGGTGGGAAGGAGTTGAGGTGCATGTACACCAATGCTAGGAGCATGGTAATAAGCAGGAAGAGCTTGAAGCTCTCCTGGGAATAGGAGGGTATGACCTGGTGGGAATTGCAGAAACTTGGTGGGATGAAATGCAAGTCTGGAATGTGAACATAGAAAGGTATCACCTTTTTAGAAAGGACAGGAAGGGAAAGAGAGGTGGGGCTGTGGCTTTATATGTCAGGGAAGGGATAGGATACAGTGAGGAAGAATGCAGCACAGACGGGGATTTGGTAGAGGCAGTCTGGGTGAAACTTAGGGGTTTTGATAGGGAAAGAGACCTGACAGTGGGGGGTATGTTATCGCCCTCCAGGTCAACTTGAGACCATGGATGATATCCTGACAGGCCAGATTCTAAGAATATCTCGGGGGAGAGACACAGTAATTATGGGAGATTTCATTCTCTCGGATATTACTTGGGAGACTCACTCGGCGGTGACAGCCAGGTCACATCGCTTCCTAGAAGCTATTAAGGGAGCGTTTTTCACACAAAGAGTCCGAGAGGCGACGAGGGGGAAAACATCCTTGACTTGGTCTTGACCAATAGGGAGGAGCTGATAGATGAAGTACAGATTAGGGAAGCTCTGGATGCGAGTGATCATCCTTTGCTTTGAGATCCAGGGAATGGGGACGTGCACCAGGTTGAGCACTAAAAGCTGGGACTTCAAGGGGGCCAACTTTGGCCAACTGAAGGCCAGACTGGGAAAAGTCTCCTGGGATAGGTTACTGGAAGGTAAGCGAGTGGAGGAGGGGTGGATGGCACTCAAAAAGGAGGATTTGGAGGTGCAAGCCTTGACGATACCCTTGGTTAGTAAGGTGGGGAAGTGGAGGAGAGTGCCGCCATGGATGTGAAAGGAGTTGGTTAGAGGGATTAGACGAAAGAGGAACCTCCGTAGGAAATGGGTACTGGGGCAAATACACAAAAGGGTATACCGGGAGGAGGAGGCCCGTTGTAGAAGGCTTCTTCGCAAGGCTAAAGCTGATTATGAGCTGAGACTTGCAAAGAATATCAAGAGCAACAAAAAGGGCTTCTTTCAGCATATAAATAGGAAGAGGAAGGGGAGACAAGTGGTGGGACAACTAAAGGAGGAAGGAGATCCAGTAACAGATATGAGGGAACAGGCAGAGAAGCTAAATGACTATTTTGCCTCTTTGTTCTTCCCAAAGCAGGACGGGGGATATCCGCATAGGAGATTAGATGAGGCTGGGGACTTAGGGGCACAGATTAGAGTCACCCCCCTTGAAGTCGAGGGGCTCCTCAGTGCATTGGACATTACAAAGGCGCCAGGCCCTTATGGGTTACACCCGAGAGTACTTATAGAGTTGGCAGGGGTTCTCTCACTCCCTCTGGCCTCCATTTTTGAGACCTCGTGGAGAACGGGTGAAGTTCCAGAGGATTGGAGGGTGGCATCAGTGGTCCCAATTTTCAAAAAGGGTAGTAGAAAGGACATGGGGAATTATAGACTGGTTAGCCTTACGTCCATTGTAGGAAAAACAATGGAAAGGCTCATAATAGAGAGAGATCTAGTGATGCTAGATAGGGAAGGGAGGCTGACAGCCACACAACACGGCTTCCGCAAAAACAGGTACTGTCAGACAAACCTTGTGGAATTCTATGACAAGGTTTTGCGATGGCTAGATGGAGGGGATGCAGTGGATGTGGTATACCTGGATTTCAGTAAGGCCTTTGACAAAGTGCCCCATGATATTCTGGTGGAGAAACTGAGGAGTTTTGGGATACACCAAAGCACTGTCCGGTGGATTAGGGCATGGTTGACTGACTGAAAGCAGAAGGTAACCATTAACGGGGAATCATCGGGATGGCAGCCAGTGACAAGTGGGGTCCCCCAGGGCTCTGTCCTGGGGCCGATCCTGGTTAATCTTTTCATTAACGACACGGAAGAAGGGATGAACAGTCTGCTGATCAAATTCGCAGAAGACACTAAAACTGGAGCAGTGGCCACCACTGAGGAGCAGTTACTCCAGATCCAAAAGGATCTGGACAGACTATGGAAGTGGGCAAGAGACAACAGGATGGCGTTCAATGTGGATAAGTGCAAGGTCTTTTACTTGGGGCATAGGAATAGCTGTCATAAGTACAGGTTAGGTGATAAGTGGCTGGAGAGCAGCACTTGTGAAAGGGACCTTGGGGTACTGGTTGATCGCAGGCTAAACATGAGTCAGCAGTGTGATGCCATAGTCAAGAGGGCAAACGCCACCCTTGGTTGCATAGCCAGAAGTGTGGCTTCTAGATCAAGAGAGGTATTACTACCACTCTACATGACTCTAGTGCGCCTGCAACTGGAGTATTGTGTTCAGTACTCATTACAGAACCCCTCATTACAGAAAGAATATAGTCAGGTTAGAGTCAGTGCAACATAGGGCCACAATGTTGGTGGCCGGTTTGCAGGGGTTTGCTGTATGAGACAAGACTGAGGGAACTGGGTCTCTTCAGCCTGGAGGAGACTCAGAGGGGGTATGTTGGCGACAAACAGGTATGTGAGGGGATGTCACATGCAGATGGGTAGAGACCTGTTCTCCCCTGCAGAGGAATGCAGGACACGCTTCAACGGAGCAAAGCTCAAGGAACCAAGGTCCCATCTGGATGCCAGGAAGCACTTCCTGACAGTTAGGACTCCAAGGGTGTGGAATGGGCTTCCACAAGAGGTCAGAGGCTCCATCGGTGCGGGTGTTCAAAGATAAGCTGGACATGCACATGGTGGGTATGTCGCGAGCGGAGCCGGCTGGTGCCGGAAGTCAGACTTGATGGCCCGGGAGACCCCTTCTGACTCATTCTGTTTCTATATTATTAAAACACACACACACTTCTGCATCCCTTTCCAGTACTCGGTGATTTCTCCCAATGGAGCGATGTTACTAATACACGTTTTTCAAGCTATTCTTGAACTAGGAGTAAGCAATAAAATGCTCAGTCTTGCTGATGACACTAAACTATTTAGGGTGGTTAAAACCTAAAAGGATTATGAAGAGTTCCAAAGGGATCTCTCCAAACAGAGATTGGGGATAAAAATGGCAAATGCACTTCAGTGTAAGCAAGTGTAAAGTAAGCATACTAGGGCAAAGAAATCCCAACTTCAAATATAAGATGATGTGGGATCTGAGCTAGCAGTGACAGATCAAGAAAGGGATCTTGGGATATGGTGGACAGCTTGATGAAAATGTTGCTAAAAAGCCCAACTTCATGTTAGATGCTATTAGGCAAGGAATAGAAAATAAAACTGCCAACACTGTAGTCCTCTAATACAAACCTTTGGTGTGACTGCAATTAGCATATTGTGTACAGTTTTGGTGGCTGTACCTGAAAAAAGACATTGTTCAATTGGAAAAAGTGCACAAAAGGGCAAAAATGATGAAGGGCTTGGGGCAACTTCCCTGTGAGTACGAGTAACAGTTATACCAACTAGGATTGTTTAACTTAGAAATAAGGGAAGTGGAAACATGACAGAGGAGTTTAAAATTATGCATGATATAGAGAAAGTGGAAAGGCAGACATTTTCCTCCTTCCCCGTAATAGCAGAACCCAGGGTCATCTCGTGAACATGACCTGTGGGAGATTCAGGACAGATAAAAAGAAGTGCAGTTAAACTATGGAATTCACTGCCACAAGAGGTAGTGATGGCCACCAACTTAGATAGCTTAAAAAGGTGATTAAACATATTCATGGAAGAGAATGGCTACTACTTCTGATGGCTGTATGCTAACTCCATTATCAGAAGTACCATGCCTGCATGCATTTACCTGAGAAACTTGGACAAGTGGAATTCTTGTGCCCAACCATCTAGACGGGTCCTTTGGGCAGCTGGTTCACCACCATGTGGACAGAGTGCTGGACTAGATGAGTCCCTGGTGTGATCCAGCATGGTTTTTCTTACATTCTTGATTTCTGTTATTTTATTAATGTTAAGTTTCTCTCTCAATTACTAATAATTCATTTGCCTTGAAGCCATTTCTGAACTTTTACATTTTTTTAATTAATTTTGATATTTGTATTCTTGTTTCTCTCAGAACTAAATTTTATTTCAGACATTGGTGGTGCCTACTATGTGTTCTTTTGGTGCTAGGTGAAGTCCTTCTTATTCTCACAAGCATTTAAATCCTTCCATTATTATTGTTTTAAATCTTATTTTATGTTTACATCTTTACACTGCAGGTGGTTTTTGCTCTACTTGAAAGTTTTAACTTAAAAGTTTTACATTGTCTGAACCATGTTTCTGTTCTTAAGTCCTGTGAGCTGCCCAAAAATCATTAGTTACCAGCTGATATAAAATGCTATAAATACATGAAATAAGTATTCCCTATGTTCTTGCATGTCCTTGCATGTCAAGGATATTGAGATGCAAGGAAAATAGCATGGACTGTATTCCGTTCAGCAGTGGTAGCTGAAGGCAACACTGGCAGAGAATCTTTCATAGAAAATACCAGTGAAGCTCAAGCTTACTTTGGTTAGTACTGCGCTGAAGGCAGTAATGCTAAAGCACTTCTGAATATTTCTTACCTTGACAAACTGATGAAGAAACAATCCAAAATTTAACAAGAGATAGTGCTAGAAGATTAATTTTCCAGGTTGGAAGGCACTCAAACAGCTACTGGGGAAGAGCAAAGGACAGGTTCAAGTAGCACTGTTGCTAATGATGCAGCTAAATCAAACCCAAAAAGAGGTTTAGTGGCTGACAAGCACTGAAGCAAAAGGAAAGTCTGATAGTGTACAACACATACAAATGGAATGCAGAACATAGGAAATAAGAATCAACACAAACTGGAAAGCATAAAGAAAGAAACATGATTAAACATCTCAGTACTTGGTGTGAATGAACTAAAGTGGACTGGAATGAGAGATTTTCAGTCAGACAAACACAAAATGTTTTACCCTGGAATGACAAATTCAAAAAAAATTGAGTGACTCTAATACTGAGAGAAGATTTAGTATAGGTAGTATGGGGCTATCATGCATAGTCCCACCAGATAATATCAATTAGAATTCTTGGAAAACCTACCAATGTAACCATCATTCAAGCATCTACTCCAACAACAGGTGCTGAAGAAGAAATCAAAAACAAAACAAGATACAGTGTTAATCATAAATGGAATGCAAAAGTAGGAAACAAAACAGAATCAAATGTTGTGGGAGAATTTGACCTAGGGGTTAGCAATGAAGCAAGAGAATAACTAATAGAATATTGTGAAGCCAACAATCTGTTTATTCTAAGAACCTACTTCATGCAACCAATCAGATGATTGTACATATGAACATCACCAGATGGCCAATACAGTTCTCAAATACAAGTATTTGAAGTAAAAGATGAAGTAGCTGTATTCTCACTGCCAAAACAAGCAGACTGTGGTAGTGACCACAAATATTTAATTCTTTTTAAAGGCTGAAAAAGATCACTGGCCAGAGTATAGTGACAAAGAAGAACTTAAATAACATTCCAGAAGAATTTGATGTCCACATAAGGTACATATTTGCATTAACGAACTGACTATGAATCAGAAGAACTGTGAACTGCAGCCAAAGACATCATTAGGGAAGAATGTGCAAAAAAAATGTAATAATAATCCTATAGCAAAAAGAAAGAAAAGGCCTTGCTGCATGATGAAAGAAACACTCACAGTTGCTAAGGACGGTGAGAAACAAACAGTAACAGAAATAGGGAACGCAAACTTTCAGTGACCACTATCCCATAAAAACATACAGAACTGTTACAATGGCCAGTGCAAGGACACTGAAGAAAACAACAAAAGAAGACCAAGAGGTCTCTTCCAGAAGATCCAAGACATCAAAGGGAAGTTAAAACCTAGATTAGGAATGCTGAAAGACTAAGAGGGGTACTTTCTAACCAGGAGAAAATAAAGAGAAGATGGAAACAATTTTCACAAGAATTATACAGAAGAAATGGCAAACTCCTTTGAAGAGGAGTCCTATAAGAAAAAGCCTACAATATTAGAAGGGGAAGTGAAAGCTGCTCTGAAAACACCTGGAAAGAATGAAGCACCTGGAGTAGACAGGGTATAGAACTATTCCAAACAGCAGAGACTGAATCTGTCCAAATCCTAAAAAGAATGTGCCAATTAAGATGGAAAACAAAACAATGACCCACAGACTAGAAACGTCCCATATACATTCAAATGATAAGGAAGTGCTAAGAACTGCAGCAACTATAGGGCCACTGTATTTCCCATACAAGCAAAGTGATGCTCAAGGTGTGGCAACAAAGAATATTACCCTATATGGAGTGAGAAATGCCTGACATTCAAAGTGGATTCTAAAAAGAAAGAGAGAATAGAGTTCATATTGCAAATACACTTTGGCTACTGGAGCACACCAAAGAATTTCAAAAGATCAGTCTATGCTTTATAGACTACAGCAAAGCCTTTGCCTATGTGGATCACAATAATCTCTAGAACCAAAGGAACTTGATTGTCCTGAAGTGTAATATTTATTGTGCACAAGACACTACTTAAGAACTGAATATGGAGAAACAGAATGGTTTTTTATAGGCAAAGGAATCAGATGAGGGTTCATTTTATCTCCCTAGAGCATTTCATAAAGAAAGCTGGATTAGAATCAGAAGAAGAAAGAGTGAAAATTGGTGGATGACACATTTATAATTTAAAATATACAGATGATACCATATTACTGACAGAAAGCAGCAATGAATTGAGAATAACTCGTGATGAAAGTGAAAAAAAATTAACTGCAAAAGTGGGACTGCTACTGAACATTAAGAAAACAAAAATCACACTATAGGGAGGGAAATGACAAAACTTTATCATCAACAAAAGAAACTGAAATTGTGAAAGATTTTCTATTCACTGGCTGGCTCAATCATCAATTTAAATGGACACTGAAGCCTAGAAATTCAAAGATGAGGGAAACTTGGAAGTGCAGCAATAAAGGAACTAAAAATAGCATTAAGTGTATAGATGTTTCATTGAAGACCAAGGCCATGATTATTCACACTACTGTATGCCCAATCACTATGTATGGGCATGAAAGCCAGACAGTAAAGCAAGTTGACAGGAGAAAAACAAGATCCTGGAATAGAGCTTTGCAAGTTCTCTGGACTGATGGAAAGACAAACAAATAGGTCCTAGATCAAATAAAGGCAAAAATTGCTCTGGAAACAACAAAACTGAAGCTGTCACACTATGGGCACATCCTGCAAAGGCAATAATGTTAGGGAAAGAAAGACCAGCTATGAGATGTATCAATTCCATAAAGAGAGCCACAGCCTCAAGTTTATAAGAGCTGAGCAGGGCAGTCAAGGTCAGGTCATTTTGGATGGCATTAATTTATACAGTCACCATACAGAGACAATTTAAAGGCACATAACACCAACAATACCTCAAAGGAGGTGAGAGCAATGTACCTTGCTAAGCCATGTCATCTTCTCAGTTTTAAGCACTGAACTGACACTTCAGAGCACATTCTACTTTTTTAAGATTTCCAGAGACTCCCCCTCACTTCTACACAGCTCCTTTTCAGGGCATTTCCATCTCCTGTTACTGCAGTTATCAGTCAGTTTTAAAAGAAACATGATAATATATGCAAATTTAGGAGATGCCAATGAAGGGGAAATTCCTAACACTTTAAGTACTGGGAAGTATACGGAGTGTATTTGCACAACTGCAGTAACTGTTCCAAGAAAGAGTGAGTTAATATATCCCCTTCCTGAAGTAGCTGGAGTCTTGGGAAGCAGCATTAGAGGCAGGAAAGCACTGGGGGAAAAATGGCATATGTACAGTGTTGGAGAAATGAAGAGCTACCGGCTGAAGATTTGATCTTGAACAAGATACTGGACTGTGCAGAAATGGACAGACTGACTTTATCTCTTAAGGGAAAAGAAGAAAACGTTTACTACCAAACATGGGACTTTTTCTATCAATGGCTACAGAATCATAACTCTAATTCAGACTGAAATACATAGCATTTGTAGAGAGAAGTAAGATTTGTACACAGTATGTTTGAAGTCTTTGGAATAATTATTTGTTTAAAACAATAAAAGTTTGGAAAAAAAGTATTGTTTCACACAATATTAACATTGGATACGAGTCTTGGGAAACATGCGTGTATAGACGGCACACACAGTAGCCAGGAGGCTTGCGTAGACTGGAAAGGGATTGCCGGGGCTGTTTGGAAGCTTCCCGGAGTGGGCCATGAGCGCCAGCTACAATAGCCTTGAGCAAGGCAAGCTGATCCTTCAACCACTCCCCGTTTGCATGTTGGGCCCTCCGAAGCCTCTTTTCCCCATACAATTCATACTATCACGATCTGGGTCGACAAGGCGCAGAATTACCCTAAACAGGAAGAATGCAGACGAGAACGTCTATTCTCGCCCCTTCTTCATAAGCTGACTAGGGGAAAGCGAGGCGCTCGTTTTACCTGAGGGGAGAACCTGCAGCAGGGACGATGTCAGGATGAGTATGAGGCTGCACGAGCCCCAGAAGGTGGAAGTGCTGGATATGGAGGAGGAGGAGGAGGAGGAGGAGGGCCCAGGTCTCCTGCGCCGTCCCCACCACCGCATCCCCGCACGCCCACAAATGTAGCCTGGCCGGTCGGCGTGCCCACCCTCCTCCTATTTCTTTCCCACGGGCGCCCCACGTCAAGTTCGTTACCCCACCGACCTCGAACGCGGCTCGTCACAATCGCGGAGGGAAGGATACATAGGGGGGAGGGGCCGGGCGAGAAACGCGGGAACGACAGGGCGGCGCGTAAGAGGCGGCCTTTCCCCCGCATCGCTGCAGACACGCCGTGCTACCACGCCCGCCCTGTCGCGC